TTTTCTCCATGGGGGGGGAGAGGGACGCGGGGGGGGGGGGGGGGGGGGTGCAACTGTACCATCTCTGGATCTACCCCTGCCCACAGCCTGCTGCCTCAGGTTGCAGTCTCACAGGTTACACGTGGCCAGTTTTTCATCAGTATTTTAAGCTGGATTTTCAAGGGAAAAGCTGCTGCAAGAACCAAATCAAATCAATACTTAATATTGGTGGTGTGGGAGCTGTGCTGCTGGAGGTGTTGTCTGACACCAAGGGGCAGGTTATGAGAGAGTTCCTGGAACTCATCAATGTTGTATGGGTGGTAGCTCTTGCTATATGCTCCTTGGGCCAGTACATCTGATACACCAGAATAAAATAGACTAGAGTGATTAAGCAGCTGGGTGTCCCCCACCAGAAGTGACTGCATTTCCCTAGTTTATGAAATGTGCCATAGCTGTTTACAGTGGCTTAGAAGGGCCCTGCCATTTTAACATCAGCTTGTTATGTGCTTAGAACTTCTTGAAAATGTTTCTTTACCTAGGACCAGACACGTGCAATTTTGCTGATGTCACAGCAGAGGTTACATTTCAGGCTTTTTTCTATGCAGACACAAAGGGAAGGAAAATGCCAGTTTCAGTGAGATTCTGATACACCTGCATGGTTTAGAGAGCCATAGTCTTAGGCAGTGTCCTATTGTGCCCATGCCTAAATCTGTCCAGCTGGAGGGTGGATTGCTGAGCCTGTGGTTTAGGGTCCTGCTGTAGAAATGACCATTAACCAGAGCTCAGAATTAGGGAGTAAGTTAGATGCTTCACCTTGGGATGGAAGCGTATTTGGGTGACGTGGAATTCTAGTGAAGTCCCTGTTCCCATTCTGATGCTCCTGGCATCCATTTTGTTTAAGCCGTTGCCTTTTTTTGGAGTATCCTATCTCACAGCTTGTTTTGAACCAGTTGCATATAACAACTATTTCTAGTTTGAGACAAGTAAGACCTTGAACCTTGCTGTGTTCCCAGGGAGCTGGCAGTTGATGCAATGAGTGGCTCACTGCTCTTTTTCCTCCTAGATAATAACCTACAGAGATTACCTGCCCAAGCTGCTGGGAGACAAGTTCAGGAGAACTCTTCCTCCCTACCAAGGCTACAAGAGCTCTGTGGATCCCCGAATAGCCAATGTCTTCACGCTGGCTTTCCGCTTTGCCCATGCTTCCATCCCACCTGTGGTAGAACGGTTAAATGAACAGCATAAGCCTATGGGTTCCAAAATACCCCTCAGCAAAGCCTTCTTTGCTGTTTGGAGAATTGTAATGGAAGGTAAAACCTATTTCGGAGCCCCAAACTCTTACAGACTGTATCTACATCTCATTCAGACCCTTCCCAGTTTCTGGCCGCATCTACATGAGACACCGAATGGACAGTTGTTACTGTGCCGTCATTTGGTACTTGTATACATAAGTACTAAATGACTGTGCAGTAACTGGAGTTACTGTGCAGTAGTGTTGCTGAATGGCTTTTTCATGATGCTGACTGCTCAATAGCTTGAGACTACTGTGCAGTAGCATTGTGTCACACTTTCTGCCATGCAATGCTAGTGCATAGTAGTCAGGAGCTACTGTGCAGTCAGCATCTCATGTAGACACAGCCTCCTTTAGTGTGAAAGTTACACATTACATTTAGACCATGTAAAGAGCACTTAAAATACAAGTGTCCTCATGTTTAAAGCTTTTTAATTCACATTAAGTGCCCTCCAACTGCTTTAAAGTTATGCAACTTCAGGCAAGAGGTTAACTCTGGGCCATGCTACCTACAGATAAAATGAGCGATTTGCAATCCTCCAGGATGCACTGCTTCCAGTGTTCCTACCCTCCCCAGAGCAGACATATTGCTTGAGTGTCCTGGCTCCTAAGCATGCCTCTGTTTGCCAGCTCTAGTAGCAAGTCAGAGCTGTGCAGGCAAGAAATGGCATTAACCCTCAATGTGTATAAAGTTCACAGCACTTTATAATTTTAACTTTAGCACTGCTAACATTCCAGATTTAGTATGGTCTAAGTATAACATGTGACTTCACCCTTGGTGTCTTTTTTTTATGGCAGACAAGCTCAATGTGATTTTAATCAAAATAAGGATACTTGTCACAGCAACAGATACTAATTCTGCCACTTACCAGGGGCCAGAGCATCTTGCTAGAGTAGTTACTCTTTGTGGGCAACATGTGACTCTTCCTGTTAAGGGAGCTCACACCATAATTGCTTAATGTTGTAGGTGCTAATAAAGTTAAAATTTTGAAATAACTCTGCATTACACTTGCAAAAAAAAAAAATTCAGCCACAGGTTTTTATATGGGCACCCTTCCCATTATATCTGGCTGCTTCATGATCTTTGAACTTATGGCAGTCTCCTGATAGATGTGGCACTGAATTTACCCACAAACTATAAGCAGGGATCTGAGGCCTGAGAGTTTTTTGGGTTGCACAGTGTCACAAAAAAAGTCTTGGGGTGAAGTAGGGCATGAACCCTACAGCTTGTCTGCCTCAGGCTAGTACCCTAGTCACTGGACCATCTCTTTTTCTGAAGGGGCCTTCGTCAGGACAACATATCTATTGTACTAGCAAGTAGATAAAAAAAGGTCACTTCAGCTTTGCTGGACTCTTCCACATGTAGTTTCCATTGCTAATGGAGATAGATGTGTAAAGCAGTTCACGAGCAGCTGTTCAATCGTTGCAGGAGGCATTGATCCTTTACTCCGCAGCCTGATGGGTAATCGGGCCAAACTGATGACGCAAAAACAGATGATTGTGGATGAACTCCGGGACCGATTATTTGACCAGGTGAAGAGGATTGGATTGGATCTAGCTTCCCTTAACATGCAACGTGGGAGGGACCATGGCCTCCCAGGTAGGAACTGCAGTTGATGCTATCTTTGGAAACAGATCTCTAGAGGAAATGCAACAATACATATAGAAAAATATGGCTGGACAGGAGCTCATATACTCCAGCCCCATGCTCAGAATAGGGTCACCCCTAAGCCATTCCAGTCAAGTGTCTGTTTAACATGCTTTTAAAAATTTCCAGGAATAGAGATTCCACCACTTTTGTAGTTACCCTGTTCCAATGTTTGAACCACTCTCATAGTCGGAAGGTTCCTAATCTTTAACCTACATTTCTTTTGCTGTAGTTTGGGGCTGTGTATCTTAATCCTGTCCTCTACTACCACAGAGAAGTCTATCTCCAGTTTTGTAATCTCCCTTCAGGAATTTGAAGGCTGTTATCAAATTCTTCTTCAGTCTTCTCTTTTCTAGACTGAGTAACCCTAGTTCTTTTTTGCCTGTCTTTCTAAATTTTGTTTCTCATGTCCTTTGTTGTTGATTTGCAAGAGACCTCCTATTAATGTAACCCACTATACTGTTGGCTTTTTTGTCTTTTTTTGCAACAAGAGCACAGTGCTGGTTTATATTCCGCTTATGGTCCACTGTAATCCCCAGGACCTTCTATAGTACTGCAGCCTAGCCAATCATTCTCCAGTCTGTATTTATACAATTATTCCATCTCAAGTGCCATACACTGAATTAATGAATATAAATGACAGTGTGTTTTAGAAATCTAAAGAGAAAAACAGGTAGTCCAAAAGCATGGTACAAAAAATGAACCATACCAAACCTATTCACCCATCTTGGGATAAAATGTCTATCAAGGAGCGTAAATATAAATGTCTTGGTATTAGCTGAGATCTCTTTGGGATATCTTTTTTTTTATCTTGTTATTTATGCTATACCACAATAAATGAGTAAGTAGGATGTTGCTCTCTAAAATAGGCATCTGAGTGGAGCTTATGGGGATGGATGGAGATCCAGGAAAACAGTCCATTGCATTCATATCACATTAAGAAGTCTAGAGACCTAGGCAAATTTTAAGATGAAATTTGGAGATGCTTAGTGAATTTAAACACCTCCAGGGTTAGGTGGTAACTGAGTGGGATTTTTTGGATCACTATTTCAGATCTAGATGGTTACATTTGACAATAAGTCCTGTTCTAGACACTCAAGTCTTTATTTGTATTTAAGCCTTAATCTGTAGAGCCAGCCTGAAAATTACTGATCAGTGATCACTCCATGGAGAGGTACACTTATTCATTGGCTTATGACCAAAATGCAGGAGGACAGACTAAAAACTTCCTGCAAGGATAATGGCAAAACTACATCATTCAAAGAATGGTCACTTTGCTTGAACACATGAACTGTGCAGGGTAATAGGGAGACTGTCATATAACTTCCTTAATAATTTAATTCCAGAGACATAGGCAGTAAGGTGAGTTGTTTGGAAAAGTCTTTAGATAAACTGGAAACAAGAAATGTACACCTCCCCTAGCCTCTAAGGTAAAAGAGGAGCGAACTGGTAGCTCATGTGGAAGGAAGAAGGCATTGATTGTACTTTGCTTTGCTTCCACAGGGTACAATTCCTGGAGACGATTCTGTAGGCTTTCACAACCTCGCAATGAACATGAACTCTCTATTGTGCTGAGGAACAGCAACTTGGCTAAGAAGTTCATTCAGTTGTACAGGACACCGAACAACATTGATATTTGGCTTGGTGCCCTTGCAGAGCCCTTTGTTCATAATGGCAGAGTGGGGCCTCTGATGGCTTGTCTCATTGGCACTCAGTTTAGGAAATTGCGAGATGGGGACAGGTAAGGGCTGGAGTCCTGGAACAGGTGTTTGGGATGGCTGCAGCTGTGATTGTATCATCACCCTTCTCAGGTTTTCTTTTCTTCCTGGTAATGCATACATGCCCACTTGTATCCACTGGGACAGCCTGGATAGAAGTATTTGGGGCTCATGCTGTTTTGGGGGACCCTTTGGGCTGAAGTCTCACAGGTCTTGTTAGCATGAACTGAGTTTTGAGTGCTCAGTGCCTTTTGAAAATCAATCTCTGCAAGGGTCTGAAGAATTAGTGGCCCCTTTTGAAAGCATCAGCATCCCTGAAGTCTGGGCAAGCTCTTCTTTTTCAGCCTCTTCCCTTTCTTATAACTTTTTAAATTTTCAAATCACATTTTATTTCCTTGTCCTTCTCCGCACTGCTGGCCCATGACTAATGGAAACATTTGTAGCTTAAACCCCTCCTTTTTCTACGTTTTCAAACATTTTAATCTTTGGCTTGAGTCCCAACAAGGGCAAGAATAATTTTCTTGAAGTAATTCCAAGGATATGAAAAATGTCTTGATGGGCTGAGTGTCACCCAAAGCTATCCTAGCAGGTCAAATAATGACCCATGGAATATTTTGGGAGCCTCCCTCTTTGAGTAAAATTTTCAAAACTGGCTAAGGCAGTTAGGCACTTGACTCGTACTGAAAATTAATGGTTGTTATGCTTCTAATGCCCAACATGCTTTTGGACATGATACCCATTAAGTTTATGTGCATAACAATATACTGGTAGACTGGATTTTGGGTGACTCACAGCAGGCATCCTACTATTTGTTCCCACTGCATTCAAGATTTGTGTAGATTTTTTTAACATGACTTCAACCAGAAATTCTTGACTTGGTATTATATTTTTTTCCTTCTAACAAAAGCAATGTGCAAAGCCTTTATTATTGCTTATCTGCTCCGACCAAGAAGGGACAACCATATCTTTATCTTTGTAATATATCTATGTAACCATTGGATCCAGGTAAGTGATTATTAACTTGGTTTTAGGGCAACCTTTATAACTCTGGTAGAGTCACAACTAAGGTTTGCAGAACACCGCAAGCATGATACTATTATTGCAATCTCCTTTTACTTTTATTTTCTCCTTGGCTTTCAAGTCTGTTCTGCTATATCTCTAAAGTTAAGTTACATCAAGGGTATTAAAAGAATGCATGGGTTTAAACAGAAATAGGCATAGATGCTCTTGTTCCAGTATTTACCATAAATATTTAATCAGGATGCTTATTCTTCAACTCCTTGTGTTTACAATCCCTTAGTTAAGATTTTTCTACCTATAATATGCTTAAATATGAAATGCAAAGAACTGAAAAGTTAAGCTACTTAACAGAGCCTCATTTGTCATTCACTCAAAAGATGCACAATTCACCCTTTGCAGAAAACACCATGCAACAGAAGCAATATTCCACAACCTCAGTTGTGGAGCAGTAGGGATTCCAGTCATTCAATCATCCCTCCTCCCAGGGCCATCTCTAGGGGGAGGCAAATCAGGGTGACCCCTCCACGCTTTGTGGGGGGGGGCCGTAGAGCTAGGTGGAGTGGTGCAGCAATGCCATGCTGCCGCTGGCTTCACGTCTGGCCACTCGGCATGCCCCCCCACTGCTGAATCTTCTGCTCAAATCAGTGCCTCTGGCCGCCTGCTACCCCCTCCTGCCCCCTGCTGCCGAATCTGCCACTGGCTTCTTTGCATCCAGGCGCAGGACCCCACACAAGCTGATTGGCCCCGGGCCCCGCACCTACTTGGATTATCTCTGCCTCTTCCCCATATGCTTGACAATGGGGGAGAGAGAGAGAGAGAGACCCCCAGACTTGCCTACGTAAATGTCCTGTTTGATTACTTCTGAGAAAATGCTCGGTGATGCTTGGGGATTTTTACTTCAAAGGGAAAAAAATGAAAAAGTGTCCTTCCGAATCAGCTAAATGATTTAAAGGAATCATAAATGGTAAGACTTCAGACTGAACTTTTTATCTCTTTCTTGGGGTTACTGCATGGCATGCTTCAGTGCAGAATAAAGTTAAGGCTATTTGATGTCATCTACTTATTTTCATGCCTTAATATCGTGTTTTTTAAATTTAACCTTAGTTCTGAATTTTCTGTTTCTGACATTTCATAGTCAACAGTCCAAAGTGTGTAGAAATCCACAGGATAAAATCTGTTGCTATTTTCCTTCTGTTTCTTGTAGATTCTGGTGGGAAAATCAAGAAACTTTTACTTCAAAGCAACGCCAGGCCCTATCCAGGATCTCCTTGTCACGCATAATCTGTGATAACACACGCATCCAGAAAGTACCTAGGGACATTTTCCGGGCCAACATATACCCCACAGACTTTGTGAGCTGCAACCAGATACCAAAGCTGGACCTCTCGGCATGGAGATTAAGGAATGCAGAAAAAGGTGCAGAGTGAATATGTTGGCTCATGGTAGAAGTTTTGTCAGACAGGAAATATTATTTTTCTTCCAGGGTACCAAAAATAGATATTTATGTCCATGGGCAGATCTAGAATTTGGAAAAAGGGGGTGCAAATAGTGAGGTGTATCATCACATATAAAACAACACATACTTTTTTCCAATTAAAAATACACTAGAAACTTTACTAATATGCTTGGGGCCTAAGGTTGTATTATTCAGTTTAAGATAGAAGAAAAAACAAATAGTTTAATTGGAATATGTTAAAAAATAATCTGTGGGGCTATGAAATAGGAGCTTCATTACCAGAAACAGCTAATAGACAGCAGAATTGCAGAAAAAAAGATAGCCTGATTAGTGGGATATCAGGACCATTAAAAAGAAGCGCGGGGGGTGGGGAGGGGAGCAGGGGTTGTTAACACGTGTCGAATGAAGTGTTTAGAAGGGATCAGGTAAATTATAGAGCCATGAAGTCAATTGATCCCTCAGCACTGCCTGATTAGAAATAGTTTTGCCACTACCAGGTATCTAGCTGGTTTTAAACTTTGGGGCTAGGGATAGAAGTTGCACACAAACCAGTTTAAGTGATCAGAAACTGGTTTCAACCTGTAACATAATAGAAATTCAGTGCACATAAACCAGTTTTAAAATGACTGAAACTGGTTTAAGATAACCCTGGTTGAATGTAGCATCAGACTTAACTGATTTTAGGTCAAACCATTTGTGAAACTTCTGTCCCAGACCCTTTCCTGGTTCAAGTTAAATCAGACTCTCCCAGCATCCCAGCATGCTTTGCAGCCCTGGGATAGGCTGTTGTCAGCTCCAGAGAGCAGGGCTGGCCCCTTCCCTCTCCTCCCTAGCTGGAGCAGTGAGGGTTGGCTCACTGGCCTTACTGGTTGACTTACTGCCCCCCTCCCCCAGGCAAACCCCTGCTGGGGGCTGGGGCCAACGAGGACCTTAACTTACCTTCCCTAGAGTATGGAGCTGTTTGCCCTCCTTGCTTAGTGCTGGCTGTGACTGTAGACTACAACTCCCAGCGACACCTGGAAGCAGGAAGAGGGAGTGATGAGCAATCCTGCAGAGTCCTGCTGCTTTAATTCTGGACTGCAAATCTCAGAGACCTTGGGGCAGCAGGAAGAGGAAGTGAACATACAGTCCATGCTAGCTATGTGCTAGAGAGCTGTGCTCTAGCACCCTCTGGCACCTAGCTTGAGCCACTGCAGGCATGTGGCTGCATTTCGTGAATCAGAAGTGAATGTCTCTTCATTTGTTTATTGCTTCAATCCTTGCATCTTAGACTAACCTGCAAAGACTGAATCAATTTGCCCTTGTGCTTTTTTACTATCTGTGAGGACCAGGAATCGATTGGGGGGGGGGAAGGAAGGGGGGAGGGTGCATGTGGACCAGTACCCTGGATACACCCATGTTTATATCTGTCTTTAAGTGCCTAGAAAACTATTTAAACTTGGATAATAAAAGATTTTTTTATGGGCAGAATGATGGCAATAGTGAATCTACTGGGATATTTTTCAAAGGAGCTCAAACAGAAGAGATACGTAAAGCAAATCAACAGTAAATGTGAATCAGGCACTTGACTCATGTGCTTTTTAAAATCCTGTAGCCCCCTCCTCTCTCTGACTTGGGTAATCAATAGTTCCTCACACTGACCTTCTTGTGGGCTGGTATGGTGAAAGCTCTTTGATTCTGTTCCAGTCTACTGTAAACCCTAGTGTAAGGGACAGGTCTATCTTTAAACATGTATGACATATTTGGTAGAGTTTTGGCCCTCAGGTATTGAACTCCAGAGTGCAGTTGCTGTACAAACACCAAACAAAAACAGATTCTGCCCAAAGAGTGTATAATTAAAACCCTTGTCTTTTGACTGCATTCATTTCCAAGGAGGATTATTCTGCACTGGTCCAGTCCTGGAGGGAGCAAACCAGGAAAGCCAAGGCTGCAACTGAACTCCAACTAGCTTTGAGCATCAAGGACAATAAAAAGTCCTTTTTCAGATATGTGGGGAGATGGAGGAAAAGCAAGGGCAACATTGGACCCCTGCTGAACCAGATGCGGCAACTGACGTCCAGGAAAAAGCCAACCTATTAAATGGCTACTTTGCGTCGGTCTTTCATCAGTCCCATGGGACGCCCATGCCCGCTACGGGACAGGGAGGTCCGGGTG